GAGAGAGAGACAGATTTGAGGGAGAGAAATTGTGAGAGACCGAAAAATATACAGGTTAGGGGAGAAAGAGAGATCTTGAGAGAGAGAAAGAGAATATATATAGATAGGTTTGGTGAGAGAGAGAGAGAGAGAGAGAGAGAGAGAGAGACAGATTTGAAGGAGAGAAATCGTGAGAGAAAGAAAAATATATAGGTTAGGGGAAAAAGAGAGAGAGAGTGATCTGGAGAGAGAGAGAAAGAGAATATATATAGATAGGTTAGGTGAGAGAGAGAGAGAGAGAAAGAGAAGAAAGAGACGAAGAGAGAGAAACAGATTGAGTAAGAGAGAGAGAGAGAGTGTGAGAGGGTGAGAGAGATTTGAGGGATAGAGATCGTGAGAGAAAAGGTAAAGAAGGATAAATAGATTAGAGAAAGAAAAAGAGAGAGATAGAGAGATAGAGAGATAGCTTAGAGATAGAAAGAGAGAGAGATAGATAGATGAGTGAGTAGAGTGAGTAAGAGAGAAAGAGAAAACGATTGCTTCATTAAACGTTTTATCTAACTTAATTAACTAAATCCATATTTGCATAGTGGCCATAATCGACGATATTAATTATTCTAAATAAATATTCTTATTATCTAAGGTAATTTTTTATCTCAACCAAAAACCGTAGATAAAAAGAATAAATAAATAGTTTTACTTAACCATGTCAAGTCTCGTGGAGCTTTTTTCCACTTAACGTTAGCTATGTTGTACATTTTACATTACATATACAATTTATGCAAGCCCTTTTGGTCTTTACAATTTATGTTACGAATAGAATACAAAAAATGTTTTACACATTTTTTATTAAATATTTCACGTTGTAAAATTCTTTCGGTTTATTAATTTATAAGATATTATGTGTTTTTTATATCCATTTACGTTTTCCTGGTCAATCGACGAAATTTCTTCTTTAAATCAATTAATTATTCTTTCAATATAAGGTCTTGGTTGAGATAAAAAGTCAGTGTCACGAGCGGGATTCGAACCCACGACCTTCGGCTTGATACGCCGCTACTCTACCAAGTGAGCTATCGTTACTTCGATGCTTTCGGACACGAGTTGTATTTTTTATGTGTTTGTTTTATATATATATAACACATAATTATGTGTGTGTGTGTCAGATGTTTCAGATATTTTCTTTTGAAAGTACGAAAACTAGAAATCTGTCCTTAATGTAAATACTATTTGAAACATTATTAGACAATTTTATGCTGGTAATCAAGAAAGAGTTGAGTATTTTCTAGTTCTATGAATTGGAATTTCAAATATTTTGTTTTGTCTTATGTTTGATTTCACTAGTTTCGTGGCCCGCTTGACCAATTAAAACCTTCAATTAATTAAGGTTTTTAGTTGAAAAATGGCAAAAAGGAGGGACAATTCAAAAGGTGTGGTTGAGATGGGAAGTTAGTGTCCGAGTGAATCGAGGTCACGATAGCGCAAGTGGTAGAGCAGCGGCGTATCAAGCCGAAGATCGTGGGTTCGAATCCCGCTCGTGACCTGACTTTTTTATCTCAACTAAAAACCTTAAGTTTAATGTTTTAATTTTTCTCTTTTATTTAACAAATAGATTGTTCGGTTGCTTAGTGCGTATAATTTTAAGCAAATATTTATGAATAGAGTGTGTGGGAGAGGGGGTGTGAGAGATGGGTAGAGTTTCTTATGGAATTTTCAAAAAATTGGAAAAATGTTCGAGGAATTGTCATATTTTTTTAATAAATAAGTGAAATTTTAATTTGTTCGTAATACACTATGTATTGTGTGCTTTAGTTAGTTTTGGACCGTAAGGTGAATAATTTTTTTTTTTGCTGCACTAACGAGTGTTAATTTAATTTTTGTCTAACTTGAGAAATTGGAGCAAAGGAGAGGCCCCCACCCCATCATCGGCAAGTTCGTTATTGTTTGAAGTAGAAGTATCCGAATTTCGTGATTGTCAAAGCCGGGTGTGGGACGGGTCCTCGTCCTCAGCGATTAATTAACACGAATATAGGGGCGAGGCTGCGCGGATCCACTCACTTCGCGGCCGTCCGAGTTCAACGCGAAGTTGAAAACAGCCCGCATTATTCATTGTATGCGGGGTGGAAATTTAATCAAATCTCCATTTGTAACCTTCTTTGTTCAAATTCGTGAAAGACAAGGTGACAAATACACATTCTTGAATCAGAAATATACCGTTTTGTAAAATATTTTTAGAGCGGTTTTTCGTGTCCGAGAAAGCTCAGATTACTCCTACTGCTGTCTGGTATAAAGCTGTCCCAAATAAATCTACCAATGTTCCTTGTATCCTTTGCCAAGGATACAGCGGTATTTTTCCTCAGACCCAGCTCTTACAGCATGAGCTGCAGCCATGTCATGTATAGCAGATTGGTGAAGAATTTCGAAAATGAAGATCATTGAAAGTCCGTCCATATCTCATTTACACTCCCAAGCAAATTTTCACTCATAATCTACTATGACAATGTTGCCATCCCTAAATCTGTCTGTTTTCCAGTGGTGTCTACACAGGAGACCAACGGTTTCACCGCTCTCTTGATAAATATTTTGTCCAATCAGCCCCGACTTAAAATCCACCCGATAATAAAGAATTTAAATTTACTCGAGATATTGTTCGAAATTTAATTATATTCCATTCTTTTTTCAGGTGTTCCATGGAGTAGAAAGTGCATTAGACCTGTGATGGCAATAAGCATCCGTTGGACGCTCCTGCTTTCCTTTATTGCTACAGTTTTTCACAATGGCCAAGGTAAGTTGTTTAAGCATTTATTTTCTCCTCATGAGAAGCCTACGAGAACAACATTTTTCAAATAATGGTGAAAGATGAACATCAAGGGAAAAGTACTGTACAAAAATGCCCATTTCAGAGAATTGTATGGTATGGTATGGTGAAGAAGGATACTAGGGGGGGGGGGGTTGCTGTCCCCAGGCACTGCAGCCTTCTGGCTTCTTGTACCTTCCTAGTTCCTTAGTTCAGTGCAATAGACTCAATCCGTCTTCTTAGAAGTATCAGATCATTGACTGTCGCTGCTGCAATTTGATTCCCTAAGTTTTTTCAGTACGTTAGGTTAAATCTCCATTGAGCTGTTGTTTCGCATTCGAAGATGATATGAGTGGTTGTTTCCTCCTCCTCGTTATATAATCTCCAAATGGGATCATCGCTGTGTACACCCATGTTGTGTAGATGTTTTCTCAGATGCCAGTGATCGGTTAGAGTCATACCACTCCTCTGAGTTTGGCCCAATTGCAACAGTGATTTTGCCAGTCTTGGTGAGGGTTGTTTCATCATGAGTTGCCTAGCACCGCTAGAGTTTAACCACTTCTCTTTTTGTTTTGCTTGGATCCATTCTGCGATGGAGGATTCTACATTCCCATTTCAGAGAATAATCCTATTATAAGCAGAAATCTTTGTAGTCCGTGGGTCAGTGCAATGCCGCTATTTGCCTTATGACAATTTTTTTAAATTAACCTAGGTTAAATATACCAAAGATTAAAGGTGAACCCACAACCAATTGTACCAATCTTGATTAAGATATGATAATCTTGTAACTCTGCCCTTTTACATGTGTAATCTCGTCCGTGTAGTTTTGCTATTTGCCTTTAGACAAATGTTTTTAAAACGTTTTTTCTCAACAAATTAAACTAACCTTGATTGGGGACCGACAAAATGTTAGCTAGCACCTCTGCCCTTTCTTGCAATATTGGGTCAGTCTAGTTTCGCTGTTTTCCTTTTCACAAATGTTTTTAATGCGAATGTAAATTCACCTTTCTAGTAAAAAGTCAACAATCAATTCGCGATAACTGAACTAATATTGATTAGTGATTGACAAACTGTGAGCTTGTAACTCTTCGTCTTTTTATGCAATGGATACCAAAGTGAACCCGCTGATACCTCCGCCAACGCGACGTTCCAATTAGCAGCTGATTAACGTCGCGTTGGCGGAGGTATCAGCGGGTTCACATTGGCAATTCATGTCGAGAGACGTGGTTGTAGAAGTCCTTCAACCTGATGATGAGCTAAAAGGCTACTACTTACTGTGAGTAGGAACTATCTTTTTAAAAAGGATTGAACACCACACTCACTCCATCATTTATCATTTCTATGGATACCATGTACAGGAGGAGTTCCCTCCTGAGCACTGCAGCTGTACAGCTTATTGCACTTTATCCCTGGCTCCATTTTTTGGGGGCTCGCAACAGTGAATTAGAGCCACCGGTGTGCCGGTGTTCTTCTACCGAAGAAACTCATTTTTTTGAAGGGGGCTGGGACCAAATTCAGGGTCGTTGAGATCTGATTTGCGGCCACCGGTCCCCTTAGGCGTCAAAAAAAGTCCAGAGGGGACGGTGGGGATCGAACCCGCGACCACGGGATCTACTAGCCGAGAGTCTGACGCCTTAACCACTCGGGTACCGCGGCCCCCCAACTCTTCGTCTTACACGAGTAATCAGTCGGTCAGTATCGTTTCCCTATTTGCCTTTTCACCGATATTTTTACAATTAATGCAGTTAAATATTTTATTCAAAGGTAAACAATCAGTTCTCAGCTGTTTGAACTAATCTTGATATCTAAATCGGCCCTTTCTTACGTAATTAATTTGTCAAATCGTATAGTTTCGCTAGTTGCCGAATAGTGTTTTTAAATCCACTAGTTTTCCTGGTCCACTTGACCAATTAATATCTTTCAATTAATTAAGGTTTTTAGTTGAGATTTAAAAAAAAATGTCAAAAGTAGGGAAAATTCAAAAGGTGGGGTTGAGATGGGAAATTAGTGTCCGAGTGGATGGAAGTCACGATAGTTCAAGTGGTAGAGCAGCGGCGTATCGAGCCGAAGATCGTGGGTTCGAATCCCGCTCGTGACCCTCGACTTTTTTATCTCAACTAAAAACCTTAATTAATGTTTTTAAAGTTTATGTTGGCAAAAACTCAACTCGTTACCTTCAATAATTCTGAACGCAGTTGAATAAGGCGTGATTAGAGCTTGTGAAACTGTGAGCTTATAACTCTGCTCTTTTTTACATGAATGTTCTGTGACTCCGTATATTCCGTCATTTGGCCGATGCTTTTGTAATTAACGTAGATTAAACATCGTGGTGGGCAATAAATTTTCAAACAATAGAACCAGCCTTGATTAAGATTTTAAAAACAGCGAGTTATTTTCATGAATAATATGTTCAGTCTGTACAGTCTCGCTCGTTTGTTGACAAATGCTTTTAATTAGTAGAGAATAAATGTTCCAACAAGTTCCGAACTCAAAAATGGCTCAAACTATCGATATAAATCGATTAATTGTTTTACATGTTGTTCTTTTTTAGAGTGACTTGATGGTTATGGTGGTGCATGGTAGTTGGTTGGGGATGAAACAATGCCCCAATAACCGGGCTCGGAATTAAACCGGTTCACAATTTATATTACGAATTGTCCGGACTTCCAATTGATGGTGAGAGTCGATTTTCGAAAGTGGTAGGCCGGGAGGTGCAGGGGTTGATAAGCGATTACAAGGGGGTGGCCCTCCGCTGGCAAAACTGACGCGTGCACTTTGATAAATTGCCCTTTGGACCAACTGTCGCCCATTATAATCAATGTTGGTTTAACCACCCTCTGGGAACTTTTGCCCTACTCCTCTTTAAATTTGTACACAAATCATGTCCCACAAACTTCGGGCAAAACTATTATAATCGTTATAAACGTACGACGGGAGATGCAAAAAGATGGGCTATTTATTTTTATCTGATGGGGGATTTTCCCCCCTCGGTTATACTTTCTGGTCACGCGAGATTTTTTGGGATAAATTTTGAATAACGCCATTTCCGCGGTTGCAAGGGGGAGGGATGGTGATGTAAATTGACTCGTAAAAGTATACCAGGCACCTCGGCCATCCGTGACCCCAATTTCACTTAAATTACTCTTAAACCTTAAATGCAATATCTTACAACAACAAATTCATAAATACCTACTATTAGTAGTAAACCGTGTAGTTAGATTAGTCATCACTGATCAATTAAATATGATAATAAACCCAATCAAGTTTTTTTGATCAACGTTCCCACTCATCCCTGAACAAAGAAATGCAAAACATAAAATATCCAACAATCACTCTGTTCTTCTACTGTATACAGCCAAACAATAACATTATAAATAGACAGTTATTTAAAGTTATGTGTATTTTTAAGTACAATAATTTCAGAAGACAATCGGCCCGTTGTGTTGTTCCAACTTCTAACCTAAAATTAGAATTATCTAATTTCGTCTTTTCTTTTTTATAAAATATTTTTTCCGACGAAACCAAAGAAAAATCACAAATCTTTAAAATGAATCGATAAGTGTACAGCGTAAACCGATAATATCTCATGTAGTAGACCAACAATAAAAACAATAATGATAAAGTAACCGGATAAAAATTTCAATATCTGCCGAAAATATTATATTGTATAACATTAACAACTTTGACTCAATCGTGTGGATATAATATACACATATCTATGTAAATAATAATGATGTAGGCTGAATAACAATACATCTGGTTGTTCAACGATGAAAACCTTGGCAATTGTTTACATTGTGTATATTTTCCTTAACTGAGACGTGTCTTTCACTGTTTGCAGTAGTTTTCGATAATCTCAAGATGGCCTTGGGTGTCAGAGATTGTTTTGATAAGATTCTGGATAAAATGACGCGGAATTATGATGATATTGTGATGTATAGGAAAGTTAGCAGTGTAAAAGGTGTACAAGATTGGACCAAGAATGCTCCCTTGTGAGACGCTGTCTTCTACTGCTTATATATTTTCACATTCGTTGTCACACGTCACAAGTAAACTAAAGGAAATCAATCCTACGTGCAGGATTTAGAAAGTAAAGGGTTTATTCTAGTCTTGGATAGGGATAGGGATAAAAGAGGTGACGACAAAGTTTTCTGCACCTCGTCATAAATAGATCTATTGTGCTATCCTGTTTTTTTTTAACTCACAAGCCAGCTTCAGATTGTTCGTCATCCTAGTCAACCTTTCTAGCCTTGCCAGCGGCTCCTTGATGGATCTTGCTTGCGGCTTTTACTCTTCTAGTTGCGAGAATCTAGACATTGTCTGTCACAAAAGCTTAAAACGTGTTCTGCGGTCTCCTATTCTTTTTGGCAGTATCTGCACAGTGTTTCTTCTGCTTTACTCCTATATGGTTCATCCTTCTCGGGCGGCAGTGTCCGTCAGTAGTGTTGGTTCTGTTACGGTTTTCTTCCAGTAATTCTTCTGTAAGTCTAGCGGATGGCCCTTCTATGAATCTCTCGTTCTCCGTGACTGGAATGTTGTTTGTTTTGGACGCCGTTCCAAAAATCACGTCAATGGCAAAACTGAACTGGCGTGCCGGGCTGCGCCGAATATTCGACTGGTCCAAACTCCATCGCGCCACTCCAAACATCTACGGCTCGCCGACGGCATGGCGCGTTCGTGAATGGGAAAACCTGGCGTGAACGGTGGAATATTGGAGCGCTGGTTTAGTCGTGAATGGGAAAACACGCGTTTTTTTTTGGCGCAGTCTCCGTTTTTCTGTCACTGAGCTAACATCTCCGTTGTACATTCTCAAAAAGTCAAAAATGTTTATTCGTTATTGGCAATGACATCCAATCGAGATTTTATTGTTGAGGCGATTGAATTGTATGAAAGTTTACCATGTTTATGGAAAGTGGTAGACAATGATTACCTCGATAGAAATAAAAGAAATTCGGTCCTCAACCACCAGTTGGTTGACATTTTCAAAA